GAAAGAAGTTACTGTGAAAGGGTGAATAGAACCCCATGGGACTGATTAGAGTTGGAGGCATCAGTATGAACTCATGGTTTTCATTTAAAATGTTTACAGACACACACAGAAATACAGATGTGTGCATATGTACATACATTTCCTTGTTTATCCATTTAGAAGGAACAGAAGCAGTGATACCCCAGTATCAATAGTTCCAGGTCTTGGTTTCTTTATATATATAATTTTACTTTTCATTTATTTTTGGCTGTGCTGGGTCTTCATTGCTGCTCAGGCTTTTCTCTAGTTGTGGTGAGGGGAGCTACTTTCCATTGCAGTGCATGGGTTTCTCATTGCAGTGGTTTCTCTTGTTGCAGAACACAGGCTCTAGGACACAGGCTTCAGTAGTTGCAGCTGCCTGGCTCTAGACACAGGCTCAGTAGTTGAGGTGCACAGGCTTAGTTGCTCCACAGCATGTGGGATCTTACTGGGCCAGGGATCAAGCCTATGTCTTCTGCATCGGCAGGTGGATTCTTTACCACTGGACCTTCGAGGAAGCCCCAGATCTTGGTTTCTAAACAATATTATCCAATAAAAGGAACCAGGGTTTCTGGGAGAAGTGATTGATTCCTGAGCTAGAGCAGGGAAAATTCAAGCTCAGGGTGGAGCATCTTGAGGTAAGAAGTACTCAAAAATGATAGAAGCATGTTGAAAGAGCGCAGAGGCCAATCTGTGAAAAAGCTCTCAGTGGTCAAATGTAGAACAACTTGAGCAACAAAAGAATAATATTGGACTATAACCCAAAGAATAAAATAAATATCTTCAAGCCCAAGCTCATAGAAATAAATAGCTGAAAGTGTAAATGAGTGGGGAAGAAGGGATAACCCTTCACTACAAAAGGATTTCAATTAATTGTAGAAGGAAAGAGGAAAATAAGAACTCACCAATGCTTTTTTTAAAAAAATTACCAATCCTTGCATCACCATAGTAATTATTGCTGTAGGCAAGATGCACTAAGAGATGTTAAAATTTGGGGGTGAAAGTTTAAGTAGAAGGATATTTGCACAGACTCAAAAGTATCTTCCAAAAGTATTTACTTATTACAAAAGGAAAAATAGTTCAGATACTGTCTTAACCAAGTGATCAAAAATACCACCAGGTGTGGGAGGTGACCTCTAAGGTGGCCCCTGATGAGCTAGGACCACACTCATACTTTTGTTTAATCCCCTCCTCTTAGGCCAGACCTAACTTCCAACATTATGGCAAAAGTGATGGGATATTGTTTCTGAGATTAGTTGTGAAATGTAGTTTCCATCTTGCCCTCTTGCTCATTGATGAAAGCCAGCCAGATACCATGTTGTGAGCTGCCCTGTTGACCCCCAGCCAATAGCCAGTGAGGAACTGTGGTCTTCAATTCCATACTGTTAGCAACTAAATCCTGCCAGCAACTAAATGAGGGTGCTTGGAAGCAGATCCTGCCTAGTCAAGCTTTGGGATAAGACCATTGCCGCTCCTGCTGACACCAGCTAAACTGCACTCCATTCCTGACCCATAGAAATTGAGATGGCAAATGTTAATCCACTAGATTGTAGGCTAACATGTTAGACAGCAATAGAACTCTAGTACAACCAGTAATACATTGCAACGTCATTAATCGCCCGGTACAATGCACTGAGAATTGCATATCATCTTTGTGGTGTCCTTCCCAATCATGTATGTGCTGGTGGTGCTTAGTTGCTCAGTCATGTCCAACTCTTTGTGACCCCATGAACTGTAGCCCACAAAGCTCCTCTGTCCATGGGGATTCTCCAGGCAAGAATACTGGAGTGAGTTGCCATGCCCTTCTACAGGGGATCTTCCCAACCCAGGGATCGAACCCAGGTCTCCTGCGTTGCAGGTGGATTCTTTACCATTTCAGCTACCAGGGAAGTCCAAACCTCAATAAATCATGAGAAAAGATCAGACAGACATCATCATGTCCAAACATCAGAATGAAAGCCATTAAAAAAAAAAAGAGTGAAAGCCCTTGTATTCTTCAAAAGTATCGAGATCATGAAAGACAAGGGAAGGCCTAGAAACGGTCACATTCCTGGAGGAGGATATTACTAGGGAAACAGGAAGTTCTTTTAAAATCTAGTTTAGTTAATTGTATTGGACCAATATTGATTTCTTAGTTTTCACCATTATTCTGTGGCAGAATTTCTCGGTTTTGGCACTGTTAACATTTGGGGGGATAATTCTCTGTTACTCTCCACACCTCTGTGGAGGCTGTACATTGCAGGCTGTTCAGTAACATCCTCGGCCTTCACCCACTAAATGCAAGTAGCCCCTCTCTCCTTTTGTGACAACGAAAAATGTCTTAAACTTGCCACATGTTCCCTGGGGAACAATATCACCCCTGGTTGACAGCCTTTATTCTATTACATAAGATGCTAATATAAGGGATGGCTGGGGGAAGGACTTTGAGAACTATACTACTTTTGCAGTCCAGCCCTAAATCTAAAATTATCTTTAAAAAAAAAGATTATTATGCTAATATATGCTTGTTTAAAAAGTCAGAATGTTATACCTTAAGTTCCTCATTTCTTCCTTCACCTGCATCACCAATATTAGTCATTAACATATTTGGATAAATCCAGAAATTTTCAGTGATACACAACTATTTTTATACAGTTTGAGTTAATTATAATACTCTAATAATATACAAAGTTAATTTTTGTTGATCTTTTTGGATTTATTATGCTTTCTTTTTTTAAATGTAGATTTATTTGGCTACACTGGGTCTTTGTTGCAGTATATAGGATCTAGTTCCCTGACCAGGGATTGAACCTAGGCCGCCTACTTTGGGAGTACAAAGTCACAGCCACTGGACCACCAGGGAAGTCCCTTATTATGCTTTCATACATACTATAATTGCTATGCTGTACCATGTTTTGCTTTTTTTTTTTCACCCAGCAATACCTACCCTTACTATGGACCAGACACTGTTTTTGAGTGCTTTCTATAGATGAACTCATTTAATCTTTACATCAAGGATATTCATGAGACATGTTTTTTCTTACCCTCATTTTGCAGATAGAGAAGCGGAAGTACAGAGGTTAAGTAATTTGTTAAGGTCACAGCAAGCGGTAGAGCCAGGCTTTGAACTCAAAGCAATCTGGCTCCTGAGTGCTCTTAACCTTCAGCTGCATCCTGCCTCTGTAATTTGTCCTAGACATGTTTTCCCGTGTTTCACATCACTGCACCTCATTCTTTTTAACAGTTACATAAGGTTCTCTGCTCTGTTGTTCAGTTGTTAAGTCGTGTCCAACTCTTTGCAATTCCATGGACTGCAGCACACCAGGCTTCCCTGTCCTTCACCATCTCCTGGAGTTTGCTCAAACTCATATCCATGGAGTCAGTGATGCCATCCCACCATCTCATCCTCTGTCACCTTCTTCTCCTTCTGCCGTCAATCTTTCCCACCATCAGGGTCTTTCCCAGTGAGTTGGCTCTTCACATCAGCTGGTCAAAGTGATGGCACCAGGTGGAACTTCAGCTTCAGCATCAGTCCTTCCAGTGAATATTCAGGATTGATTTCCTTTAGGATGGACTGGTTGGATCTCCTTGCAGTACAAAGGACTCTCGCGTCTTCTCCAGAACCACAATTCAAAAGCATCAGTTCTTTGGCTCTCAGCCTTCCTTATTGTCCAACTCTCAATATCCATACGTGACTACTGGAAAAACTGTAGTTTTGACTATGCAGACCTTTGTCAGTATAGTGATGTCTCTGCTTTTTAATACCCTGTCTAGGTTTGTCATAGCTTTCCTTTCAAGGAGCAAGTGTCTTTTAATTTCATCACTGCAGTCACCATCCGCAGTGATTTTGGAGCCCAAGAAAATAAAATCTGTCACTGTTTCCACTTTCCCCTTATCTATTTGCCATGAGGTGATGGGGCCAGATGCCATGATCTTAGTGTTTTTAATGTTGCACTTTAAGCTAGCTTTTTCACTCTCCTCCTTCTATAGATGAACTGTAGTTGAACTCTTCCCTGTTGGTGTCCCAATTCCCACGTCAATCTACAGACCCAGGTCTCCAACCACCTCTTCAATGTCCCTTGAGTGCCACAGCCTTCATTTTAAATTGACTTATTCAACTGATATTTCAATAAAAAATAAATTTAAAAAGTAAATTGATTCAAACTGAGCTCATTATCCTCCTACCCGCGCTTCCACCCACAAATTTCCACCCACAAAGCCACCCTGTCATCTGAATGGCAATGCCAACACCCACGAGTCACGCGGGACAGAGGCAGAAGCCAAAGTGGGAAGGAATTAGTGAAGTAAAGTAGATTTCAAAGGAAGTGGAAGGTGTTTGGGTTAGTAAAATAGGGAAAGAGTCTTGCACAAAAAATTAAAAGGTGGGCTAGCTTTGGACATCTTGGGGAAACAGGTGGGACGAGGGAGAACGGAGGAGCCAAATATAGGCTTCTGGATTCTTAGCTGTTCATCACCAAGGTAACGGCGTTGCTATGGCAACACCAAAGTCAGCACCGCCTTTGTCAAGAACCTCCTTCGCTGCTGTTACCTCCACACAAGCCAGACACTTCCGCATGGAAGGCTGCAGCCCGCGGGCTCTGGTTTAGGAAGGCGGGAATTGCTGCAGTAGTAACCAATCGGATGGGCTCTGTGGCGAAGGACGCAAAGGAGGGGTCGGGACTTTTGGAAGCTCAGCAGAGGGCGTTGATAAGGCGTGTTCGCGTCCCTTTCCCACCATTTAGCGGCCGAAGAAAGGAAGAGGGCGGGACCTGCGTGAGGCCGACCGGGGGCGAGGCCCAGATTAAAGGTGGGAGGCTCCTCCCACCCCTGCTTTTGCTCAATAGGAAGCCAGAGAGTCAGTCCGGACAGTTAAAGTGCCCAATGAGTGCTGTCGCCAGGACCCCGTGCGGGGCGGGCTCAGCCAATCGACAGCAGCGGTGGGCGGACGCGGGCGGCAGAGGCGGTGCGGCGGTGGCGGAGCGGGCTCTGCGGCAGGAGGGAAGATGGCGGACGAGGAGAAGCTGCCGCCCGGCTGGGAGAAACGCATGAGCCGCAGCTCAGGTGCCGCAGGGGTCGGGGCTGGGACGGGGCCGCGAGGGCCCGCAGAAGCAGGGCTCGAGCTTGCCCCTCGAGCGCGGCGCCGCCGCTCGATTCCCGTGGGGTCCTGGCTCCTCCGCGTCGTCCCCGGGTAACGGCCCCGGCCCACCCCGTGGGGGCTGCGAGCCTGAGGAGAGGGTAATTCCGAGGAAACTGAGGCAAGGGGCGTGGCCGGGGAGTTCCAGGGTGCTCCCGGGGTGGCAGGGGGATGGTGATCCCGCGGCACTCCCTCAGGCAATGGCCCTGGCCCTGCCGGTCTGACTGACATTTTCGTTCGGGCTAATGCACCAGAAGTCCTGAGGGAACGTCTGTGCAACCCCTGGTCCCAGAGGGGACCCCTTGGGGAGGACACCTCAACATCATGCTCAGGGCGGGGCCCTAGGGTGTTGTTCGGCCTCGGATCCACAACCTCCTTCTGCTAATAACGCTTGCTGCCATCCACACCATATTCTGAGTTTGCGATATCCGGCCGGTGGTATTCTGCCTGAGAACTGCCCTTGTGCTCCGGAACGCGATTTAAGGCTTTTCCCCAATAATAATGTCAAGAATAGGTAACGTTTATCTCAGAACCAAGCATAGTTCCAAACATTTTGGGTGTGTGCTTTCTCTAATTGGCATAATTTGAGGAGAGAGGTAATAGTTACCCCCGTTTTGCAGATCAGGAAACTCGAGGCCAGAAAACGCAAGGAACCCGCCCAAGGTCATTGATTTCAGGGGGTGGGGGCTGGGTTCGGACCCAGTCATTCTGACTCCAGAGCCCCCTACCCTTCTTGCTGCAAACTACCAAGATGCAGGTTCCAGTATTTCACACTTCTTTTTCCATAGAGCCTAGCAATCATAGTCGCAGTAATAATTTGATTTTTTGAACATCAGGAGCACTTTGCATACAGCACCATCCACTCTCCACATTAACCCCCCAGAGGTTTGATGTCCTTATTCTCTCACCCCCACTTTTCAGATGAGAAAACTGAGGTTCAGGGAGATGGAACCCATTGCCAAGGTTTTTGAGGCAGTCAGTGGCTCAGCTTTCACCAACCCCCACCCCACCCTGCAGCCTTGACCTGTGGATGTGACCTACAATGTAAAGCTGATGCTCTGCCCGATTTGGGGCTCCCATTCCAGCCATTTCTGCCCAGTTCAATCCTGACAATGTTCCCTGAGGGTGACAGCCTTCACGGTGTTCGGCACAAGTCCTCCGTGTAGCCAGGGCAGACTCTGCTCCAGGAGTGACACCCTGTCTCTACTGGCTCCTACTTCAAGTTCTTGTTGGCAGCCCTTACTCCATGCTCTTTAGTCTCTGGATAACATCTGACCCCAGTAATGCTGGACCCCAGTTCGGTAGGGGAAAAGGACAGAGCTTTTGTGTCTGACACATGGGTACAGTTTATGCAGCAGAATAAACACAGTAGAAAATTTCTTTTGTTTTGGAGGTACTAGTAGCTGTTGCACTCTTATTGACCAGACGCCTCACAGTGACATGTGCATTTTCAAGTCATGTCCTACTCTTTGTGACCCCATGTGCTATAGCCCACCAGGCTCCTCTGTCCATGGGATTTCCCAGGCAAGAATACTGGAGTGAGTTGCCATTTCCTCTTCCAGAGGATCTTCCCAACCCAGGGATCGAACCCAAGATTCTTTTGCTTCCTGCATTGGCAGGCAGATTCTTTACCTCTGTGCTACCTGGGGACCCCATGTTTTGACCAGAGATGTATTAGTATGTCTTTTGTTACCCGAATGTTACTGACTGGAGTGTCTCACATTCACTTATATAACAAATCACCAGCCACAGGCATTAGTTTCTGCCAGAATCCCCCAGTCGATAATGTGTTAATACATGTCAAGTGCTATCCTAAACTCATTACAGATGTGAACTCATACAGTCATTCCAAAAACCATTCAGGCAAGTACTGTTGTTATTTCCATTTTACAGGTGAGAAAACTGAGGCCCGGAGAAGGGAGCTCATACAGGGAGTGAGTGGCAGATTTGAACAGGGAGTCTGGCTTGCTGAGTGCACGCTTCGAACCTCTCTTCCTCACCTTGGGTTATTTTCCCCCCTTGAAGTTATTAATGACCAAAGTTATGTGGTCTTACTTGCTTGTTTATTGTCTGTCTGCCTCCCACCTAGAGGGTTAGCTCCCTAAGTCCTGGTGACACTGGTGGACAGCAGTGGGCTGGCTGAATGAAGGCATCTTGTTGGCCAGTTCCTTATCATGGCTTGACGGTGGTATCCTCTGAGCAGGTCCCAGCTGAATTCTGTCTACCCCCCACCCCTTCTAGGCCGGGTGTACTACTTCAATCACATCACTAATGCCAGCCAATGGGAGCGGCCAAGTGGCAACAGCAGTGGCAGTGGCAAAAATGGACAAGGGGAGCCCACCAGGGTCCGCTGCTCACACCTGCTGGTCAAACACAGCCAGTCACGGCGGCCCTCATCCTGGCGGCAGGAGAAGATCACCCGAACCAAGGAGGAGGCCCTGGAGCTGATCAATGGTAAGCAGTGGTTGGAGACCAGGCTTGGGAGGAAGGGGACGGTCCTTCTCCCCAAGGGCAGTGCAAGCTTTGCAGAAATCACATGAGATCCTCCACCCCAGCCAGCTTAGCTGTCAGCTGTGGCCTTGGCCGACCTATAAGTGCCTGTTGGTGGCATGAGCCTGGCTCCCACGGCTGCCTCTCATTTTCCTCCCCAGCTGGTGTTTGAGAGTGGGCCAGGGTTGGTGGAGAGGACGCAGCCTTAGGGCTGGCAGACCTGGGTTCACATGGTCACTATGCCCTTAGGAGCTCCTTGACCTTGAGAGGTTCATGTCACTCCTTGAGACTCGGTTTTCACCTCTGTAAAATGGACATCGCCATCTCCTTGCCTTCATGGGCCATTGTGAAAGCTCAGTGAGATGAAGTGATGTAATGTGTGGCCCACGGTTGTCACTGTGTGGGTCGTCACTTAGTGGGAGAGTAGTGTCATCAAGCCAGGTCCTGGGGCACGTATGTGGATGCGTCAGGAAGGAGGTTGGAAAGGTAGCAGTGTTAGAACTAGCCGATAGTCACTGAATTACTTCGGCTCTGAGCAGGCTGTTCCTCACTCAGTTCTGTGTTTCCTCCACAGTCTAGGGCAGCAGTTGGTAGGCAAACTTTTTCTTAAAAGACCAGATAGTAAATAGTTTAGGTTTTGTGGGCCATACAGTCTCTCTCAGCTCTGCTTGGTAACTCCATAGCAGCCGCAGGTGATGTGTAAACAAATGGGTATCGCCATGTGTCAATAAAACTTTATTTACAGAAACAGCAGGATTTAACCCCACGGCTGTAGTTCTCAGCATCCTGGCCTAGAGCTATCTAGTGTGGCTGCTTCTATCTGCATGTGGTTATTTTCATGTAAATTAGTTCAATTTAAGTCATATTGAAGATTGGCTTCTCAGTCACACCAGCCACACTATTCAGTAGTCCCACTTGGTTATAGGCTGCCATTTTGGACAGCACAGCTGCAGAATTATTTCCATCCTTGCAGGAAGTTCTCTTGGCCAGTGCTGGTCTGGATCACAAGTGTGGTTTCATCATCCACTCAGCCTCTCTCACCAGAGATCCAGACACCTCCCAGACCCTCCGACCCCACAGAACCAGTGTCTCACCCCTGCCCAAACAGCCTGAGTGCCCATCTAGTTCTGCCAGGTCATGGCTGTGTGACCTTGAGCAAGCTACTTAACATCTCAGCCGCAGTCTTTTCACTTATAAAGTTAGTGTTAAGATAATAGGACGCACCACATAGGGTGAAGAAAAAAAATTGTTAGTCGCTCAGTCTTGTCTCTTTGTGACCCTGTGGTCTGTAGCCCACCAGACTCCTCTGTCCATGGATTTCTCCAGGCAGTAATACTGGAGTGGGTTGCCATTTCTTTCTCCAGAGGATCTTCCTGACCCAGGGATTGAACCTGGGTCTCGTGCATTGCAGCCAGATTCTTTATCTTCTAGCCACCAGGGAAGCCCTAGTGCAGTAAAGCACGAATAACAGCTCTTGGCATCTAGTAAATGTTCTGTGATTGCTGGTTGCCATTATGATGGTGCTTATTAGCACAGGCCTGGCATATTTAGTCCATATTGGCTGTTGTTTTGTGCCACGTAACTGTCCTTTAGGATACTACTGACACACACCCACACCCACACCTGTTCATACAGTCCCCAGCATGATAAATGGCACATGTTAGCCACCTACCTCTCAGTCTTGTAGAGTGGAAACAAGTTTTTGCACAGAATCTTGAAGGCAGATTTAAAGAGCTAACTTCTGGGGACTTCCTTGATGGTCCAGTGGTTAAGAATTCACCTTCCAGTGCAGGAGATGCGAGTTCCAACCCTGCTCAGGGAACTTAGGTCCTATATGCCTTGGGGCAGCTCAGTCTGTGTGCCACAACTAGAGAAGCCTGCATGCTTCAATCCAGCCAAAAAAAAGAGAAAAGAAAAATAGCTCACCTCCCGAGCTCCCTGGGGCAAGGGCTGGATCTGTCTCTTTGCCCACTGCATACCCAACACAAAGCATGGCCCATAGTAGCGCCCACAGCCGGGGCTCCTGAACCCAGAGGAAGCAAGAAGGATTCCTGGCAGAGGAAGCAGCAGAAATGAAGGCCTGGGGCTGGGCTACAGGCAGGACTCAGGGGAAGACTCTGCAGGGGACTGAAGAGAGATGAAACCCATCAGGGCAGGTCCCAGCCAGGTGGAGGAGGGCCCAGGCTGAGGCCAAAAGTTTGGGTCCTTTTCCAGAGGCTGCAGGAAACACATGTCCACGTGACCCTGGGAGAAGGGCCCTACAGTCCTGGCTTTTCAGAAAGCCGTATGGCTGGAGGTTGACGGGCAAGGAAAGCCGGAAGGTCCAGCCCCAGGCTGGGTGGGCCAGCAGTGAGCAGTAAGTGATGTGTGGGGTCTGGCCGCCACTCGGGAAGAGGACATGGCGGGAAGCTCAGAAGAAACCACGAGATGACCTCTTGGATCCTTTTAGCTCAAGTGGTCCCAGTTCTGAGGCTTCTGAACCACATGAGAGTGCACAGAAGGTGACGGGCACTTGGAGAGTGAGTGGCAGGAGATGTCATCATCACTGGCCGAGGGGACTTGGGAAGAGGCGCAGTCTGCGGAGAGTCTCACTAGGTCTGAAGGTCGGAGGAAGAGACCTTGGCGAGGCAACCATGAGAGGATCTGGACTGAGCAGAGCAGCAGGCCAGAGACCGAAGCCTGGGGGACAGCCCCAGCCAGAGATGGCAGGTAGACATGGGGACACCTGAGCATCGCTTGGAAGAAAAGCTGTTGGGCTGTAGGGAGTGCCTGGGAGTGGTGCCGCCTGTCCCATCTCCGAGGGCCAAGGACGTGTCTAGTGGGGTTGACACTGCAGTGGGAGCCTGGGAGTACTAAGGTCAGCTTGGGTCTAGGGAAGGGGTATCTGTGGGTGCGCCCAGTAAGCAGCTGGGCCCTGGGGCCTCACCTTAAATCAGTGTACACTCGGAAGTGTTAGCAGGGGTCGAACATGCCTCCCTGTGCCAGGGGGCCTGGTGGAGGCCGTGGGAGGAATTGCAGCTAGAAACAGTGTGACTTGAACTTGGAGTGGGTAGGAGGCAGGTGGAGTCGATTCTAGCGAGCTTGAGTGGGCAGAATCAGGAGGACTGGGTGATAGATTAGAGGGGCAGGGAGCAGGTAAGGTCAGAAGTAGGGTGACCCACGCTGGACTGGCCCACAGATGGATCTCGGTGCCAGCTGTGTCAACGTTTCTCAGTCATGCCCAACTCTTTGTGACCCCATAGACTGTAGTCCATGGGATTCTCCAGGCCAGAACACTGGAGTGGGTAGCCATTCCCTTCTCGAGAGGATCTTCCCAACCCAGGGATTAAGCCCAGGTCTCCTGCATTGCAGGCGGATTCTTTACCAGCTGAGCAACCAGGGAAGCCAAAGAATACTGGAATGGGTAGCCTATCCTTTCTCCAGCAGATCTTCCCGACCCAGGAATCGAACCGGGGTCTCCTGCATTGCAGGCGGATTCTTTACCAGCCAAGCCACCAGGGAAGCCAGCTGTGTAGCTTCAAGCAAGTGTCTTCATTCTCGGAGCTTCAGTTGGCCTCATCTGTAGAATGGGCACAGGGTGGCCTGAAGATCCAGGGGCCGGCTGACCACTGAACGCTTAGCAGAGTAGTGGGCTCAGTGTCAGCCACTTGGTGTCTGCATGGTAGAGCCTTGACCCCAATCTTATAGGTGTGTGTGGTGGGGACCAGGGTCAGGACAAGGCCTTTGCCTACCGCAGCCTCTCCTGCTTGCTCATGGTCCATGGGTGGCGCTCTGGGCCAGGACATGGGAGGCCTCGTGGGCTCAGTATGCAGACCCTCCACTGACATTGGCATGTGGTCTTACTCAGTGTCCTGAGATGGGCCCCCTCGGGGGTCATGATGAGGGTGCAGTAAGATGGTGCAGACTGTGGTACACTTGGTCACCAGACATCCATGTGCCAGGTCAGCAAGCTTTGGGCATCAGGGCCTTGTTTCCTCTTTCATGAAGAAGGATGTTTCTCCCCCCCTCCCCTCTTCTCATCATGAGTTTGTTCCAGGTGATGACGAGATCAGCCTTTTGGTGGCACAGTCTGCCGCTGGCAGCCTGGGTCCCTCCGTACCCATTTAGAACCTGTGCTTCCCAGTTGCCTTGAAAACCAGTGTGTTCACATTTTCTGCCAAGGCTTCTTTCTCTGGGCCAGCTCCTCTGCAGCTCTTGGGCTGCGGCCAAAGGCTTCTCAGGGAGCTGGGGACTGGTTACCTGTCATTGCCAGTGTCCTTGTGTAAGGAAGCCAGGCCACAGAGAAGCCCTCCCTGCCTGGTGCCCATTCCTCCATCCCCACGTGCCCAAGGTCGCAGAGAGGCCCCAGTGTGAGTCCCATCCCCGTACCCCGTGCCCAGGGTCTAAAGGGTTAATGACCGCCTTCCACCCAGTGTCCCCACTCACGGTGGGTAGCTCCCTTCCAGACTCCTGGTTTCAGGCTGGGGTCTCTGATATCTAGACATTCCCTCCTGGAATTTGTTTTTTTTTTAATATTTAATATTTACTTGGCTGTGCCTGGTCTTAGTTGCAGCATGCAGACTCTTAGTTGGGGAATGTGGGATCTGCTTCCACAACCAGGGGTCAAATCTGCCCCCTGCATTGGTAGCACAGCATCCCTAGACCACCAGGGTAGTCCCTGGAATTTGGGTCTTAAGGAAGACAGACCTAATTCCATCACCTTTTCCCCGTCCACACCCCTTCCCTAGTTTGTCTCTAAACCTCTTTAGAGTCAGAGACCGCTCCACTTGTTCACTCACTGTCCCTGGAATCATTATGGTGTAACTCTGGCTGCTACAACAGAATACCACAGGCCGGGTAGCTTAGCCACAGACATTTATTTCTCACAGTTCTAGAGGCTGGAAGTCTTAAGATCAGAGTGTTGATTGGTTTGGTTTCTTCTGAGGCTTCTCTCCTTGGCTTGCAGATTGCCACCTTCTGTGTGCTCAGACGCCTTACCTCAGTGCATGTGATGGAGAAAGAAAGAGCTTCGGAGGAGCCTTTTTTTAATAGATATTTTTATTTATTTGGTCGCACTGGGTCTCAGTAGTAACAGCAGGCAGGCATGTGGGATCTAGATCCCTGACCAGGGTTTGAGCCCAGGCCCCCTGCACTGGGAGCATGAAATCTTAGCCACTGGACCACCAGGGAAGTCCCTAGCCTTTCACCTTGACTTGTGGCCAGACTCCCAAAGGTCAGCTTTAGAAAGGAGAGCTCAGAAAGGAAGTCTTGTTTCTTTTCAAAAAGTCATTTCAGGGACTTACCCTGTGGTTCAGTGGTTAAGACTATGCTTCCAATGCAGGGGATTCGGGTTTGATCCCTGGTCAGGGAACTAAGATCCCACATGCCGTGGGGTGTGGCCAAAAAGAAAAAAAAAAAAATCAGGGTCCCATCCAAACAGAATATTTTCTTTTTTTTTGAAAACAAAATGTATTTATGTGTGGCTGCATCAGGTCATAGTTAAGGCACGCAGGCTCTTCATTGGGTCATACAGGATCTGTCACTGCAGCATGAAGACTCTATTGGCAGCTTGTGGGCTTAGTTGCTCGGAGGTATATGGGATATTATTTCCCCAACTAAGGATTGAACACATGTCCCTCCTTTGCAAAGCGGATTCTTAATCACTGGACCACCAGGGAAGTTCTGAAGCAGAATATATTCTGAGAGCTGCTGATCACAGGAAGATGTGGGTGCTGTGAACAATGGGGAGAAAAGCTAAGCTTTTATTCAGTTCTTAGGTTGCTGTTGCTTGCATGCACACACACTGTGTGTGTGCGTCCCTTGCCAGGCCGCCTAGTTTCGGGGATCCCTGCAGCTGTGCCTACAGCCCCAGTGGCTGGAGGATGCTGCAAGGGGTGCTTGAACCAGGCTCAGGATCGGGCCCGACACCCCAAATGCTGGGCCTGTGCAGCGGTGCTCCCGCAAAGTACCTGGAGGCGGGCAGGTACACTGGGGGGCGCTGCACTCAGGATTCCCTGGCTGGGTTTACTGGAGTTCAGCCAGGAAAGGTGGGGGGGAACATATCTCAGTGTTGCTCGGGTGAGACAGAAGACATAACCAGAATCCAGGGAGAGGAAGAGATGGAGGAGGGGAATCCTTGTGCCATCCAGTTCAGATCGGAGTCACCCGCGGGTGCATCAGGCACAGGGGGTCCACCTGGCAGCCGCGGGGGGCATTGGGAGCCCACCCGGGTTTTCACGGGAGAAGGCACTGCCCTTCTGCCTTTTGCCAAGGAAGGCACTTCCCTGGCGGCTCAGTGTGTAGGACTCCGGGCTTTCATTGCTGAGGGCCTGGCTTTGATCCCTAGTCAGGGAGCTAAGATCCCACAAGCTGCAGGGTGCAGCCTCCCCCCTACTGCCCCCCAGAAAAAGCCGCCACAGCGTGCAGGCCACGGGGTGGGGCTGTGTCACAGCAGAGAGCCTGTCTGACCAGCCAGCGCAGACCACAAGGTGCAGACGAGGAGGGCCGGGCCGGGGCACGCAGGTCAGAAAGAAGCAGGGGCAATCCGAGTGGCGGGGTGCACAGGAGGGAGAACAGAATGCTGACAGCAGGTGCCGTTTGCCGAGGTGTCTCTCGGTTCCTGGCACTGTGCCTCATGTCCCTGTGACCGGCTGGCAAGTGCCCGATGGTCGAGGCTCAGAGGCACAGGGACACAGGGCAGGCAGGGCTCACGGGCGCAGCTGTGGAAGCGGCCAGGCCGATCAGATACCAGGGCACGAGTTACTGCCGTCACCTGTAGTGAGATGGCGGGTGGGGTGGCGGGTGTGCTGTCATGTCGTCCCGGACGGACAGATGGATGACAGTGACAGAACAGAGCTGGAAATCCGTGGACCAAGGTGAAGTTCCCACCAGCTCAGCGACAGGCAGATGGTCTGGCTGGGGGTGTGGGTCTCTGAGCACCAAGTGGATTAATCAGCAGCGTCTGTGTGGCTCTCAGAAAGGTACCAGGCGTGTCACAGCCTCGTTTAGGTCAGATGCTGGGAGCCCTTTCCCTCAGTCCTCTTCCTTCGTCCCATCAGCCCAGTCTCCCTGTCCCCCCAGGGAGAGTCAGTATCTAGTTTGGGCTGCACAGAGGGTGAATCTAGGGCGCTGCCAACACACCCCATCCAGGTGGCTGGGAGAAGACCCATGTCAGCTGCCCCGGGGTGCAGTCTGACACCTGTCCCTTGCCGAATCCCAGCCAGGCCACCTCCAGGGTTCTTCATGACACCCCAGTAAGTGGCCCTGGCCTTTCTCATGCTTTGGACAGCCCTCAGGCTGAGGGCTCAACCATCTCCTGTGGCAGAGCTGGGCTAGTGCTGTGGCCTCCTGCCTTTGTCCTAGAAGCCTCTAGAAAATTTTCCTACCACTGCCCTGGGGCGTCCCAGTGTCCCTTTTTATTTTTATTTTCTTGGCTGCGCTGCTGTTGGATCTTAATTCCCAGCCAGGGATCAAACCTGTGCCCCTTACTTTGGAAGCCCCAAGTCTTAACCACTGGGAAGTCTTAACCACCAGGGAAGTCCCCAGTGTCCCTATTTAACGTCTGTCCTGTCTTCTGCTGTCCTCCCCAACAGAGCCTGGAGGTAGATTTTCTCTCAGTGTGTGTGGGGGTAGGAAGAGGCCATGCCATATTCATTATGTGTTCCTGTTGGGCGGGGGGAGTGACAGAGAAGGGGGTGTAGGACTGGGGTATGAGACCAGCTGCTCTTGAGGTCACCGCAGGGTCACGGGGTACATGCACATCATGGGTGGTGTGTATGGCTCCGGCTCTGATTGTGCATGCACACTCATGCACACACTATCGGCAGGAGTTGCAGGCTCCTTTCTGAGTGAAGTGCTGCCCTGCCCAGAACCCTCCGCCCACCCACCCCACCCTGACGAGGAGGCCTCCTTTTGTGTCCCTCTTGCAGGCTACATCCAGAAGATTAAGTCTGGAGAGGAGGACTTTGAATCCCTGGCCTCACAGTTCAGCGACTGCAGCTCTGCCAAGGCCAGGGGAGACCTGGGTGCCTTCAGCAGAGGTGCGCAAGGAATGGGCACCCCTGACCCACTGGCGCCTGCACCCCACCTAGGGGGATGGCCCGTGTTGCACTGTGCCCTGGGGCCCAGCAGGTGGCAGCAGGGTCCCTTCCTCAGGCTGCAGTCTTCTGGGTGGCGGACTCCCGGGGCGGGGCGTCCGCCTGTGTCTCTCTGCTCAGTTGTCCCCATCACGGGCCCACCGAGGTGGGTGCTCGCTGCCATTTCCCTCTCCTCCTGTTGAGGTGCAAAGCTGGGGCCCTTAAGAGTCCCAGAGCACATCCCCCCGAATCCTCTGCCTGCCCTCCTGGGGGGAGAAACTAGGAGTGAGGGGAGGAGGGGGTCAGATCACCAGCCCCGCCCAGTTCAGGTCTCTCCACCTGGGGCTGTGGGAAGGGAGGAGCAGAGGGAACCAGGCCGCCGCTGCCTCCCCCCTCCATCTTTGGGGTCTCGAGAGCATCAAGGAAGGGCCCAGAATAGGCTGAGGGGTGTCGGGGAGCCAGCAAGGGGCTGTGGGTAGCCCCAGGAGGCAGGCGGGACAGACAGTGTGGCAGGGCCCAGGAACCGAGCCTGGGGAGACCAGTTCATCATTAAAACTCATCTCTCAGTGCACAGTGGAGACAGCCACTCTGCCCTCATTCGTCATGCTGTCCTCAGGCTTCCCGGGGCCTTCCTAAGAGCCTTGCCGCCCCCAGCTGCGCCCAGCTCAGGCGCCGTGACAGAGCCATAAAGTGCGTGATGGATGAGTCTGAATGAGGGCACTGGGGGTGCGGTGGGAGCCCCGTCTGCCCGGTCCCGCCTGCAGGTCTGGACCCCACACGCCATCTCCTGTTTCCTCCCCCAGGTCAGATGCAGAAGCCATTTGAAGACGCCTCCTTCGCGCTGCGGACAGGGGAGATGAGCGGGCCTGTGTTCACGGATTCGGGCATCCACATCATCCTTCGCACGGAGTGAGGGGTGTCGATGGCCCAGGCCTGGCCCCCGGGGGGGAGACGGGTGGGACGGGGTGGCTGGGCCCGCAGACTCTGCTCCCTGCTGCCGGCCAACCAGTGGGGACCCCTCCCTTCTCCTGTCACACAGTATTTATTGATCCCAGATGGCCAAGAGGAGGCCCTTCACCACCGGGTGCTCCCTGTCCGCTCCCGTTGGGGCTGTCCCTGCTAGACCCCCCTCCCCTTTAGGAATCGACTTCAGAAGGGCACAGGGTGGAGAGGCTCCCTGGGCTTCCAGAGCCAGGGTTGGGGGTGACCTGTCCCAAAGAGAAGGCCTAGTTAGCTGCCCCCATGCCGCACCAGGTCCAGGATGGGGGCAGGTGGGCCTTGAGTTGTTGCTGATTAGGCCATGTTTCTCTGTTCAGTTGTAAAAAGCAGACGCTCCGCGTGGGGCCCAGGCTGCTGGCTGCTATGGGGCCTTTCTAAGCAGCCATGCAGCACCTTCCCCACCCTTGATTAAACCTGGAACCACTGCTCTGCTGTCTGGCATTTCATTTCCCACCCTCGGGGCAGCGATCATCTCCCGCCACCCCTGGCGTCCAGGTGTCCAGGCCATGTTGCCTCCCGGGGAAGGCGCTCCTTTCCTGGGCCGGGGGTGCTTCATAGCAGCAGCAAACTCTCAGGGAAGTGGAACAACAGCCGTCTTCTAACTTGGGTGTTGAGGAATGTTCCAGAATGCAAGGGCCCTAACTGCACAGCTCTGCGTTCAGCAGGTCAGGTGGAGCAGGAGAATCCTCAGGGAACCAGAGTGAAGGCCCTGTTCACCCTTGGTGCCGCCCCCACCCCCCAGCCCACTTCAATTGGAACGAATTACTCCCAACACTGATGCCTGCTTCCCCGTCACCGTAAGCATTCTGCCAGGACCCAGGCACCTCTGCAGATGCTGTTACCATGGCAACGGGGGCCAGCGAGCAGGGGTACTGCCAGATGTCTCTGAGAGCAGGGGTCCTGCCCAGCCTTCCGGTGGTGGGTGGGAGGAGAGTCTTGAGCAGAAGAAATCCCTGCAGCAGATGGGGGAGGGAGCGGGACTCTTCAGGTGGGGGCTGGGGGTGTGACCCACCTGTTCTGCATGACTCCTCAGAGCTGCCCCTGGTTCCAGCCCTGGGCAGGAGGCTCAGAGGTCAGTCAGGGGGTTCATGGGTGTGTTGGAGAGGGTGTTATGTCTGTTCTGCACCCCACACGCACACTTAATGGGGACCAGCCTGGATCTTAGGAGTGGTGGGCTAGTAGGGCTTGGGAACCCAATAAAATAAGCCCTGCCTGGCCTGACCCCAAGGAAGAGCCCCCACCCCCCACCCCCCAAAGCTGAGTCTCCTAACACAGGCCTGAGTTAGTTGCTCATAAAAAGTCACCTGGGCCGACTCCCATCTGGCCAGTTTCTAGAGCAATTGCTCTCTGCCTGCCAGCGCACTTGTCATTAGGAAGGTTTAATGAGCCTCCTCTCAGATCTGTGGGCTGGGCAGAGCTGGCTGCTTGGCTGCCCTTCCAGACAGAACCTTCTCCTACCGTCTGTGGGGGCCGTGAAGCAGGCAGAGGCCCCACTATTGTTCTCTGGGGCTGGGGGAACCATCGCCCCCTGTCCTGGTCCATCCAGTGGAGCCTCTGGGAAGGATTGGAAATGAGTACTTGGGAGCAGAAAGGTTTGCAGGGTCCTCCTTCAAAGTACCACCTGAGAAGTGGGCCTGTGCCCCTTTCTTAACACCAAACGCCCAAGAAAGGGTGTGGGTGCATTTTCATGTGTGGGGCTGGTAGGAAATTTTTTTTTTTTTTTTGCCTTGCCACCTGGCTTACAGGATCTTAGTTTCCTGACCAGGGATGGAACATGTGCCCCGTGTTGTCTTTAAGTGTGTGTCTGTCCTGTGCGACCCTGGGGTCCCCACGTCTGAGCATGACCACCTGCCTCCGTGGACCTCCCTCTTCCTTTGTCTAGCAGCAGCCAAACCCCAAACACAGAAGAAAGTTGCTCTTAGATAAACATGCCCTGGAGCCCACTCAGCATCCACAATTCAGAAGCTGTGGCTTCTGTCACCTGCTCCACACTCCCACCCACCCACTCCTGCCCAGAATCCAGGCCCCTGGATCCCAGGCCCTGAGGATGATGAGAGTATAGTCTACGCCACTGGTCTGGCGCCTCCCCGCCCAAACTACCCTAGGGGCTGGTTTCCACTTGGCCTCCATGTGCACCAGCTTGGGCTTCTGCAGTCACTTCAGTTCGGGTCCTGAACTGAACAGTTCAGTACTGCCACTGGATGGTCTGCAAAGCTTCCCCCTTGAAGCCAGTCTCATCCATTATAGAGGAAGATGGGATCAGCAGGCCACCTTGGACACAGACGGATGACATGTGACCCAGGCCAGGGTCAAGGGATGGGGGGTTATTTCTCCTGCCTATCCTTTGTTCAGTCGCTCTTGGCGACCCCACGGACCACAGCGCGCCAGGCTTCCCTGTCCTCTACTATCTCCCAGAGTTTTCTCAAACTCCTGTCCACCCATCTCATCCTCTGTTGCCCACTTTTCCTCCTGCTCTCCATCTTTCCCAGCATCAAGGTCTTTTCCAGTGAGCTAGCTCTTCACACTAGATGGCCAGAGTACTGGAGCTTCAGCTTCAGCACCAGTCCTTCCAATGAATATTCAGGGTTGTTGGAACAAAAGCCACCAATGCAAAAGTATCGGAGGGTGGGGCCTGCCCCTGTGTTGTGTGTATGAGAGAAGGAGCTGTTCTGATGCCAGGCACCTGTGGGCATCAGATGCCCAATATGGACTGGAGGGATGGGGTACAGATGTTCTAAGGTGGGTTTTTTGGGTGTGTGTTTTCTTTAAAGCAGGTACAGAGCAAAGTGCCTCTCAAAGTACTTATCCAGGAATCGATTCTTTTCATGTCAAATTTGCTCATTTAAATGGAAATTAATTGCTTTTCTTGATGATTTCTTTAAAAATTGGTTTTAAATGTATGCATCAGGCAGTCGCATTTATTATTCATTGGTTTTGTTGGCAATGCAGCCCCAGTGTCCCGCATTCCAGGAGATGCCAGCACAGAGCAGAGATGATTTAATCAAGAGAGGCCATTAATTAAAGATGGGGAGACAGGGAGGGGGAGGGTTCCTCCCACAGGAGCAGGTTTGGTCACCTCTGTGGCCTCAGCAGAGGGCGGTGGGATTGGAGGGATGGGGAGCCCGGGTGGATGGGGCTGTTTGCATGATGTTTCTGCTAGAGATTTCGGTGGGGTGGGGGCTATGCGTTGGGGCGAAGGTGGGGGTGTGGGGTGCACTATCTTTGTTCCTGGCCACAGCTCCGGAGGTGATTGTCCTTCCCTCTCGCCTTGCCGTCTGTTGCCCAGGCCACCAAGAATCTGGCTAAAATAAAGCCTTCATTGTGTCCTTCCCATTCTGTGACCCCCTTCCACCCCACCTCAGTCACATCAACAAGGCTTCTGAGGACCTGAGCTCTACTGACTTCTCCAATTTCTTCCCGACTAGTTCAACACACCCTTCCTGTCTCTGAGACTTGCTAGCTTTGCCCATTTCTTGGCCTCCAGGAGCTCCGATCTCCACATCGGTCCCCGGTGAGGACTACCCCTGCCCAAGCCAGGGCATCGGCTGTGGGTGTGTCCAGTGGAAGACCCCCATGCACTCTCAGACTGTTGCTACCTTTTTGTTATTAGCTCACTCAGAACTAATAACTCAGGTGCAAATTATACAAAATGGTTTTGAAATTACAAAGCCCAAACAGAAGAAAGAGGGAAAATTCTTCTGTGTCCCACTCTCCTGGTGCTGTTGGTGTTCAGTCATGTCTCTTTGTGGCCCCATGGACTGCAGCAGGCCAGGCTTCCCTGTCCTCCACTATCCTGGAGTTTGCTCAAACTCACGTCCGAGTCGGTGATGCCACCCAACCATCTCATCCTCTGCTCTGCTCCTTTCTCCTTTTGCCTTCAATCCTCCCCAGCACTAGGTTCTTTTCCAATGAGTCGGTCTTCAGAGCTCTGGCTTCAGCAACAGTCCTTCCAATGAGTATTTAGGGTTGACTTCCTTTAGGATTGACTGGTTTGATATTCTCTTTTGGCCACACTATGAGGCATGAGAGATCCTAGTTCCCCAGCCAGATCACCAGGGATGGAACCCACAGCCCCAGCAGTGGAAAGAGTGGAGTTTTAACCACTGGACAACCAGGGGAGTCCCATCATAACTATATTCTTAAAAGCAGCCAAATTGTTTAAAAAAAAAAAAAGTTAAAAGTTGCCAGATGGTAGTGGTGCACCAGTGTCATCAATGAGTGAAAGGAGAAAAAAAAAAAAACATGACAATGGGATTTCCCTGGCAATCCAGTGATTAAGACTTCACGTTCCAGTTCAGGGGGGCAGGTTTGATCCCTGGTTGGGTTGGGCAGCTAAGATCCTACATACCTCCTGGCCAAAAAACAAAAACAAAAGCATAGAAGCAGTACTGTAACAAATTCAATAAAGACTTTAAAAATGGTCCACATCAAAAAATGCCTTAAAAAAAAACTGACAATATTCACTTGAGGCCAGTCTTCAGTGCCATGATAGAATTTGCGGTTGTTTGGATCCTGTTGTTTGGATCAACTGAAACAGCTTTGGATTGGGTCTCCTCACCTGGCTTCCCAAAGGATTCAGCCTACCATGACCCCTGCCCTCATCCCTCCTACCCCACCCTCTACCCCCAACCCCCCCCCCCCCGCAACTTCACCCCCACCCTCAGGCTGGGCTTGTGCGTGCCAAGTCCCTTCAGTCATGTCCATCTCTTTGCGCCTTTGTGGACTGTAGCCCGCCAGGCTCCTCTGTCCATGGGATTCTCCAGGCAAGAATATTGGAGTGAGTTGCCATGCCCTCCTCCAGGGGATCTTCCAGACCCAGGGATCGCACCTGCATGTCTTATGCCCCCTGCATTGGCAGGCAGGTTCTTTACCACTAGCACCACCTAGGACGCCCCGGACTTGTGCTTCTTACCT